ACAGGCCGACAGGTCTTTGGGTGAATTCATGCAACATCAACTAAATCATTTTGAATTTAATATATGAATAAATCTCAAATTCAGAATATATCGGTATATACAGGGTGTCCGCTAAAAGGAGGTCAATCCATTAACCATATATTCCTTGAACAAAAATAATATGAGTTTCTAAATACCATTTTTCATTTTAGCCCTTCTTATTCGATATGCAGGGTGTCAAAGTTGAAAATTAAAAACTGTTTTTTTCTAATTACTCGCGTAATTAATAGGATATTAATCTCAAAATAGGTACATTACTTCAGCACGAAGAGTTACATCGTGTGAGGAAAACAAAACAGAAAATAACTGTCAAATATTCAAAATACTGGGGGTCAAGTACACACTTACCCCCATATTTTTTTGTACGTGCGCTAATGACTTCCTATCTATTTTTCTTCATGTGTTCAATCATTTTTGAGTATTTTTTGATTTTTGTAAAATTCCTATAAAATTATTTGTTTTCAAGATAATTTGAAAAGTAACGGTTATTGTTTGATGCCTTGCGGCTTACGGTAATCTCATAATGTTCACATACTCCTATTTATTTCGTCGAAATCGGAAGAGGGCGTATCTTATTACGTACGGAAAGGTGAATATGGAAATACCGGGTGCTCAGAGCGAATGTATTAAAATAATTTTTACACTTTTTAAATTTTTTTTTGTTGTAAAAATTATTTTAGTACATTTGCTCCGAGCACCCGGTATTTCCATATTTACCTTTTCGTACGTAAAAAGATACGCCCTCTTTCAATTTCGACGAAATAAATAGGAGTATGTGAACATTATGAGATTACCTAAGCCGCATAGTCATCAAACAATAACCAGTACTTTTCGAATTATCTTAAGATTCAATCGAAATTTTACAGGAAACAAAAAATACTCAAAAATGATTGAACACTTGAAGGAAAATAGATAGGAAGTCATTAGCGCACGTACAAACAAAATATGGGGGTGGGTGTGAACTTGACCCCCAGTATCTTGAATATTTGACAGTTATTTTCTGTTTTGTTTTCCTCACACGATGTAACTCTTTGTGCTGAAGTAATGTACCAATTTTGAGATTAATATCTCATCAAATACGCGAGTAATTAGAAAAAAAAACAGTTTTTAATTTCCAACTTTGACACCCTGTATACCGAATATGAAGAACTAAAATGAAAAATGATATTTAGAAACTCATATTGTTTTTGTTCAAGGAATATGTGGTTAATGGATTGACCTCCTTTTAGCGGACACCCTGTACATATATATCATATACAGCATAAATTAATAACCTTTCATCAGCTGTTTGATCTTTTTTCAGCGCGGCTAGTTTTTATACGCGCTGTTGTGAATTATGGAAGGAATCAATGTCTTAGTTGAAAGTTGGCCATCCATCTTAGTTTTAATTTCATTTTCTAAATTCCTTGAGTGAACACCTTCTTTACCTTCCTTGGTATTATATATCATTAGTTTTAGTTAAAAATGCATTCCAAGTTTCAGATTTTTCTTGCATGAATCCACCTTAAGAGTGTGTAAGAATTCACATTTTCCATGCTTTCTGATGACAACTATGTAATCTAATTACAGCTTTTGATAATATGATATGATAAAATGAAATTGTCTTTTTGGCCTGGAATTCTGAAAATTGCCGCAGCAGTCAACGTTTTAACTGGATACTGGATACTGGAAAAATCTCCAAGTTATGCTTGTTTCTCATTCCAATTTGCTCCCATTCAAAATGAGTTTTTCCAAAATTAAGAACATATCAAAGAACTTTCGATTATATTCAGGATAAGAAAGTTTGAACTCAATTATTTCGATAAGGACGATTCGTCTTCCTTATTCTTGAATGTTTTATGTATGTCCTTTATTTAGTCATGCAATGACTAGTTCACAACAATCAATACATGGAACACAAATACAGTGAAATTACGAAAAATACAGACATAGATATTTGATTAATGATAACAATAATAATATTAATAATATTAATAATAAGATTATGGTAAGTACAAGTAAGTAAGTATATAAGATTAATAAAAATAACGAGTCACGAAACACCACAATGGCTAACACAAAAACAAGAAAATTATTAAAAATTGCTAAAACAAATGAAATGAAGACTATTAGCACACCATAGAAAGATGGGTTGAGTCAATTGCCGTTCATAATAATATTGTTGCAGATGTACTTTAAATATTCCCAAAGTATAACATTTCAATTCATTAGGTAATTTGTTGTAAGCTGTAATTCCCATATCAAAAATGCTTCTTTTAGTGCTCATCAGTTTTTTTTTTTCTATATGTATATGGTTCCATTGTCGGGTATTGTATGAGTGAATGTCAGACCGGAACTGTAGGTTCCTTGACAGGTATTCAGGAAGCATATTATTGACCAGTTTATGGATGAAAATTAGCGTTAGAAATTTTATAAGTTTCAACAGACATCCACTGAAGCTGTAGTTGCATTCGCTCTATACTTTCGAATTCATTACACCTCAGAAGAAAACGCATACATCTATTTTGTAGAATTTGTAATTTTTGGACATCTGTGTCATGACACATAAACAGAATAGAAGAGCAGTATTCAAAGTGAGGTTTAATTATGCTATTGTATATCATATGTTTACTGAACTGAGTAAGATCTTTGCTCATTCTATATGCGAATCCAATTTGGTTTGATATTTTTTCCGAGATATATTCGATGTGCTCTCTGAAAGATAGTTTTTCGTCGATGACAATGCCTAGATATTTGATGCTCTTAACACGCTCAAGATCTAAATCATTGTATTTAATATTTTCATGAAATGAATCATTCAATAATTGTCGCCTACCTTTTATAATCATGTATTTGGATTTATTTATATTTATTAATAGTCTGTTTGTGTTGAACCAACCACTAATTCTCCTGAGGCTGCTATTTATTTTTGTTACTAAGTTGTCAATTTCGTTCCCCATGATGTATATATATTATAGTGTCGTCGGCGAAAAAATGATATTGCATTCATCTAAATCCAATTTAAGCATGTCATTGATAAAACATATGAAAAGTGAAGCTCCCAAAACGCTGACTTGAGGTACTCCCGATATCACATTTTTTGCATTAGATATATTACCATTCACTTTTGTTCTTTGGAACCTATTTTGTAAGTAGGACTCGAACCACGCATAGGCATGTCCGTTTACTCCGAAATAAAGATTAAGCTTCTTTAGTAAAATTTTTCTATCTACAATTTCAAGAATTTGAAGAGATTGTTCATACGTACCCCTTCGCAGCTACGTCTCTGATATGTGGATGGTGTGCTCGAATAGACTCCAGCGAAGCAACTCCAGTCCATCTTTGTAATGCGAAACTTGTACATTATTCAGATCCATCAGGATCCAGTTGGCAGAGGCTCCTTTTACTGAGCCGATCGCACGTTCCTTGGAGAATTCAACATGAAATATTAATTCGGAAACGATGTTGCCAAAACTTTCGGGGTGTGCATGTGCTGGCCGGCACCAAATAACTTCTAATTGCGTAAAAACAGTGGCGTGATCAAGGGCGGTTCCACGGGGTCCCCAGAAAAAAAGTTCATGTAACTAATGCATGAACATTACATAATTTCTATGATCAGTTACGTAACAAAAAAGGTAATAAGTAGGTTCAGAATTCATGTGTCAACTGTGCAAAATGTCCGCATCACGTTACGGCGCCTCCACCATGTCATAAACTGTAGGCGGGGGTTGCCTAAGTTGTGTTCTAGATCCATTAGATAATGACCTTCAAAAGTGGTGATAAATAATACTGAGAAGGTTTTCAAACAAAACATACACACACATTCATTCTTGGCAATGAATAACAAATTAAAATCGAAGCTAAATTTACCAATGTAAAAATTAACTGATATTTCTGGGAGCCTGAGAAAGGACATCTTCTGTTCTGCCCGAACTCCGAAGGTTCGGGCACAGTGACAGTGGCAACTTTTCGAACTTACAACTGATAGAGCTCGAACTTTCCTGACTCGTACTCAAAAAACAGGACTAGAACTCGAACTGGCAGTCGAACTGTCGAGCCCGCTACCTTACGTCATTTGAATAGTTGTCTGTCTTCGGAAACGTGACAGTAATAGTGGGGTCGGTTAACTAAAAATTCTACCAAAATATTTCACATCTGGCAACCAATGCGCCCTTTTAGATTCAGATAGTACATGGGTAGACGCGTTGAAAGATCCCGGGACACAAATTTTTCTGGCCCTCTAGCGGCGTTGATGACGTAATCACTATGGCCGCCATAGTTTTGTGGCAAGCTTTTACTTTTCCCTGTGTAACTCGGGTTTGTATTAGAATATTAACCAATATCATTACTGATTATTGATGAGGAGAAAATAGGCTTTCCAACGGTATAAAATACATTATTGTTCAAGTTTGTAATTTTAGAAATAATTATTTTTTTCATTCAATTTTGGTTTCTATCGAAACATTCTGCTGAATTACTCGAAACCCGTTGGATATAGCCAAAAACGTGTCGAATACTTTTTGATCATCAATGAGTTGGCTTCCGAACAGTATATATAACGTTTATTTTATATCAAACAGTTACTAAAAATGTGTCAAAACAATGTAGCATTGCACAGTTATGGCAAGAATGTAATTTATATAATATATGTATAAGTAGCGAATGTATTTATTTCAATTTTTTATGTATATCAAATAAATTGTAGCATGTTCATTGCAATTGAAACTCTTTCCTGTTTCAAAATCAGTGATAGGAGTCATACCTAAGATGATTGTGAGATACGTTTCAATCAATAGGTACAAGAACGAGAAATGAAAGAATTCAAATACAATATTATTTCAATTTAATATGCAAATTCAGTACATATATTGTAAAATGAACTGGTATACAAAGAAAATAATAAGGTGCAATAATATTTAATGGGGTTGAAAAACTAAAAATTCCACTTGTGATTACCGATCACTGTCGGAGCACTGTCCTTCTCATACACAAAGTTTTGTACATCGTATTTCCATTTTAATACATTCACAAGATGTGCATCTCTTGCGACAAGTACAAGTGGTGAGTTGTACACAGTGTTTTGCCACTTCCGGAGTTATTGCCCACACATATCGGTATGATTCTTCTGAAGTCACAGTCCATCCCCGATTGGTTGGGGAAGGTATTACGTATTGTGAATCGAGGCTGTTGTTCCAGATTCTTGCTTGAAGAGTAGCACGTTCAATATGTTGTGCTAAAGCATCTGCTGTAGGAGGAATGTTTTCTATTGCTCGATTCTTTCTTGTAAACAACACTCTTCTGCAGTCATTGATGTTCTGAAGATCTGATGCTCGATCATAAAGTAGAATAACAAATCGCTGTAACACAGCATAACATTCATCATCAATATCCGAGATGCTTCTACAAAGCTGATGCAATACACGATCAATTTCACGAAATGACATCCAGACCTTCCAAGCTGTCTTCTTACCAATATCACAAAATGTGGAAACGGTATCGCAACCAGTTGAAGAATGAAAAGCCAACATATTCCTGCAAATTTCTGGTGAGGGTTTGGTACAAATCTTATGAATTGAAATGAATTTCCTGGGTTTCCTCAACCATACTCAATCCATAGTTCAATAATATTTTGTATTTGGGGAAACAGTGATATTGAAATAACCACTACATCTGAGTCCACAGTTCGTATTAGAATATGAGTATGTCCACTTTCTACTGCATGTTTTACATGTAGAAGTAGTCGGCCATCTGCTTCTTCGTGTGAGGCGGGAGAAATGCTTGATACATCCATCGGTCTAGAGGTGAGGACTCGGTCATCATAAGTACAGACAGTATGTTTTTCTGGATACTCGTTTCTCAGCTGGAAAATGAAACAATTGTGTCTTGTTCTCGTTAACACATAGAATTGCTTAAATTTTTTGGGAATTGCAGTTGAATCTGAGACTTTAATACTTATGCCACTTCCTCTTCTTTCTGCCTTCAAACTGTTGCTAGCATATCGGTCGAGTACAATAATATCTAGTCGTAAACTATTCCTCAGTTGATTAGTAAAATATGGTTCGAAAACATGTTCATAGTATCCGGAAAATGTACCACTACCAGGATTAAGTATGTGTGTGACGGCTGCTCCAAAATATTTTAGCTGTAACATCGGTTGGCAGTGATTAAAACTAATCTGTTTTTCTTGATATAGTTCTGAATATGAGAATATTGCTTCGAGGAATAATTTCATGAATTGAATTTTGAACTTGATCAAGGCGGACACGATAAATTCATCATACTGTTTGAGACCTAGAGTATATGCTTCCTCAACACACCTGACAGCTTCGACACTTCGAATTACTTTAGAGCTCCCTATCGACACCAAATCGGGTACATTGTTTTGGCACATTTTCAGTAACTGTTTGTTATAAAATAGACACCATCCGAAAGCTAATTCTTTGATGAACAAAAAGTATCTGCTACGTTTTTAGCTATATATGCAACGGGTTTCAAGTTATTCAGCAAAATTAACTGAAAAAGATTATTATGTTGCAATTATTCTCATAATTACAAACTTGAACAATGATGTATCTTATACCGTTGGAAAGCGTATTTTCTCCTCTTTGATAAGAACTCATAATATTGGTTGATATTCTAATACAAACCCGAGTTACACAGGTGAATGTAAAAGCGTGCCACAAAAATATGACGACCATATTGATTACGTCATCAACGCCGCTAGAGGGCCAGAAAAATTTGTGTCCCGAGCTTTTTCAACGTGTCTACCCATGTACTATCTGAATCCAAAAGGGCGCATTGGTTGCCAGATGTGAAACTTTTTTCCGCTATCCGACCCCACTATAAGGAAATCAGGTCGATAGTCCAGGTTCGTTGAAGTCAATGTCACGCCTGTGTTCATGTTCAACTACTATGGAAAAAGGTTCGTTCATGATTCGAAGATTTTGGAATTAATAAACAAAGACGTGACCGTTCAATGACTTGGAACCCCTTATGAATTTAAATGAAATTTAAGAAAATAACCCTATTCGTGACAATATGTTACATCACTTCTATGTTATACTAGTTTTACATGTTACATCAATGAGTAGTCAATGTGACGTCAGAATTTATATAACATTTACGTCTCTCTACATAGCAAGATAACTATTATACTTATGTGAATATCAATAACAAATAATAACCAGACTAATTATTACTTTATATATAATATTCCCACTTTTTCCATACAAATACAATACTTGAACTTAAAATTCGTTTGGATCTTCATATAATACTGCTTCCTATGGATTTCATCGAGGCTTTAATATTGGTGATCTGAAACAATAACAAAAAACAATTCTTAAATCATGTCTCGAAATCTCTTCGACATTCTGAGTTGGCTGATACCTTTTCGTGCGGGCCGTGTCTTCTTGTTATATGTAGGAAAAAGGGCATTAAACATGTTATTCAACTCACCAAAATGGGGTATGCCACGATTCAATCAAATTTCTGAAACTCATAGCTCAATTCTCAAGGTACTAACTACCTCAACTCGCTGGTCAAGGAAAGTGATATCACTTTTTCTATGATCTTTGAAATAAAAGATAGCAGTGCGATCGGTCTGTAGTTGCTAGGTAGGTTTTTTTTGCCTCTTTAATGAACTGGTTGTACTCTCGCAATTTTCCAGTTGGATGGGAATATCCCTAATTTGTATGAGTAGTTGAACAACTTGCAGAGAACAGGTGTTAGTTCGGGAGCACATTTCTTGAGAACAATCGGTGGGATTCCGTCGGAGACACAAGCTTTGTTGGTGTTGAGACCCAATAAAATCTTCCTTATAGTACGTTGGCGTTATGTTTGGAGGTTGTTTTCCCGATGAATCCAGAGTGGAATTTCCAGCAAATGAATGCGCAAAAATGTTGGCTTTCTCCTGGGCAGTTGTGGCTAGTGTTCCATCTTCCTTGGTTAGAGGAGGAAACGAGCTGGAAGTGAAGTTTCTTCCTACAGCTTTGGCGAAGGACCAAAATGAACGGGATCCGTTAGGACATTCAACAAGTTTTGATCTTATTTTGGCATTATGAGCATCCTTTAATAATCGAATTGTCTCATTGCATATGCCTCGACATATTCTGCTCTGGTCTCAGGGCCTGGATTTTTCTGCCATCGATGGAATGCTGCCTGTTTGGAAGCGACAGCTCTAGAGCAGTTTCTACTGAACCAGGCCTTATCGGAAGATGCCAAGTACTATGCACAAATCATTTTCAAATAAAAAATTGCTTTTCTCGATTTTATCCAGGTGATTATAAGGTCAAATCTCCATTTTTGGAGCTCAAGATTCTATTGTTGGAATATGTCTAATCAGTAATGAAACACCCTGTATAGATAACTCATGGAGATATATCCTGTATTCAGAGAGTGTTTCGAAATTCGATCCCGTAATTTTATACAGGGTGGCCCACTTATTCTCGCTCGGACCATAGCTGCTAGGCTGATAGGGATAGAAAAAAAAAATCATCGGAAGTTATTGGAGACTTCATAAGATACTCTTCAAAATTATTTTTTAGTATACAGGGTGCACCATGAATCCAGGGTGGAAGAATCGATCGTTTTTTGAAATGGCACACCCTGTAATATTATTTCATTTTCGGAATCTCTCTCATGTGGGCTTCACAAACCTATTTTGTCTTTAGAGATCAGATGCGTTGTTGTCAAGTTATTAATTTTTTTATCAAATTTGACGAGAAAACATGAATGTTGGAGAATATTCAGGGAAACTATATTTTCGAAGATTCATTAACAAAACTGAGTATACAGATACCTAAGGTCTGTGTAGAAACTCAGACATTATTTGAGTTCACGCAAAATATACAGGGTGTTTTAAAATAAGGACCGAATTTCGCTATTTCCAAATCGCCGAAACTCATTTTTTTTAAATGGATCACCCTGTATATTATTTCATAATCTGAAAGCTCATCCGATGGGCTTTTTGGTGATACCATATAGACTGTATCCATCGATACTCATCGATAGGTAAATAACGATGAATGAATTCAACTGTACATTTTTATTAAAAAACAATAACAAACATTCAACTGACAATGAGAAATGTTCAAACTCATGGAACATATCAGTTCATGAGATGTTCAAAATGTCTCCCATTTTGCTGGATACATTTTTGAGCTCGATATTTGATCGAATTCCTTACTTTCGACAACATTTCTGGTGTTATATTTGCAAATATTTCCCTTATCCTCATTTTCATGTTCTCTTTCGTTGTTACTGGTTCCGATTACACTTTGTCCTTAACATAGCCCCATAAGAAGAAATCGCAAGGGGTCAAGTCTGGCGACCTTGCAGGCCAGTGTATTGGACCTCCTCTACCAATCCACCTATCTTGAAAATAACGCTCATTCAACCACTGGCGAACTGGTGTTACAAAATGTACTGATGCACCGTCTAGTTGAAACCACATATAATTCAACACATTTTGTGGTACACGTTGAAGCATCGCTCCCAAATGATTTTGTAGAAAATCTAAAACTACTACTCCATTTAACACACCATCAAAAAAGTAGGGACCGAAGATGTAATTATCAATAATACCTCCGCAAACATTCAAACGCCATCTTTCTTGGGAAGTGGTTCTGAATAAATGAGGATTTCGATCTGGATAATAATGATAGTAATGACGATTCACCGCCCCATTCTTGTGAAATATGGACTCATCAGTGTGAAGAACCTTTCTCGAAAAATTTCTGTCAGTGCTGATCTACTCAATTAACCACCTACAATGTTCTATTCTGCGATTGAAATCCTGTGGTAGAAGTTCCTGGCACTTCCTGGTGTAATTGGATATGGAATGGATGGAATTTATTTTTCATTACTATGCGTTGTACTGAATTTCTTGAAATTTCTACATATGGGCTCAATTTTCTGCTACTTATATTCGGGTTTTCAACCACAGCCGTCATTACCATCATCTCGTTCTCTTCGGCTAAAACAGTAGCTCGCTTTTTATGTTTCAAATAATTCACTGAACCAGTACTATTGAATCTATCAGCTAGATTTGGAAAGCAGTCAACTTTTGGGCGTCTTCTGTCAGGATATCGTTGGGCATATACTGTACTTGCCAAAAGACAGTTCTTTTGACACTCGCCCAAGATGTATATCATTTCAATCAATTCGTCCTTTGAATGATTCATTACCAAACAGTAATGTGCTACTCCAAGAAGAGTAACTGACAACTGTATATAGCACATAAACTTCGGTTGAAATGTAATTGATGAATCTCGTTGTAGAAACTGTCAAGATGTTCATCTGTTTTCAGTGATTGCTTTTCATTCATCTCGAAAGAGTGATAAACAATAATTATCCACGTGAATTGAGCAATCTAAATAAAACAATCAAAGATTGACTTCGAAAAACATATTCAATGACAAAAGACACTTCGAACACCTCATCGAACAGAATTTCTTCCAAATTCAATCCATTCAAATACTTTGAATCATAAATAGTTTCAATATACGCGTCGTTCGTAATGTTTTTG